GGTGCCCCTCCTCCTCCTCCTCGTAATCCTCCTCGTTCTCCTCCTCGTTCTCCTCCTCGTTTTCCTCCTCCTCCCTCCTCCTCCTCCTCCTCCTCCTCCTCCTCCTCTTCCTCCCCCTCTCCAACTTCTGTTTTTTTTTCGGCGTGGACAGATTCGGGCTCCACACCAAGGCACTCTCGAAACCCAAACAAAACGATTCTTGTCCGCCCGCTGGTGGCGGCAATTCTGGCTGCACAAATTACCATGCTCCAAGCCATCGCTGTCACGTTTAGCCGCGGTCGGCGGCGGTTCCTGAGGAGAAGGGGGAAAGAGGAAGAGGAGGAGGACGACATTAGGCGAACCGTTGCGCGCCGTCGGGGCTCGAAGAGACTGAAGACAAATCATACGTCAGAGTCCAAGCTCCGTGCGCGAGCACAAAGCGAGAACGCAGAACACATAAATCCACCGCCTGATCAATACGAACTGCAACGCATCAGCCCATGGCATGCCGAGGCGTTGTGCTGCAGTCCCCTTACTGAACGGCCTAGTCAACCGAACCAGTAAACCAACACGACAAGAGACAAGAGAGGAGCAAGGCATCGTGGTCATCGCCCGACTGCCTGACAGTCAGGGCACCCGCGTGACCTAACAGTGCGAACGCAGACGCTTCAATTACACAGTATCGACTCCAGTGGGGCGGAGGAGGAGGAGGAGGAAGGCAGGGGGAAACAAAACGGGCGGCGAAATCAGAACACGAACGTGGACGGCACCCCAAACCACGGCGTAAGCGAAGGCCACCAAGCAGCCCGGACGAAGTTGTTGAACAGCATGCAATAGAATCGCCGGTAGAAGAAGCGGACCACGAGGGCCCAGAGGTGCTCGTAGAAGTTCGCGATGGTCACGTAGAGGGAGATGGGGCGCTCCAGAGGGAGGCGACTATGCGCGTGAGCGGCGAGTCCTTGCCCGCCGCCTCTGTCGCGGCTTGAACCCGCACGTCGCTCGCAACTGTCGCTCGCCCATGACGGGCGGCATTGGTGGCGATGAATGTCGCATAAAGACGCAAGGCTCTCAGCGCCAATTGAGAAATGTCTGAGACTCCACTGAGAAGGAGAAAATCCTGGAGCCGGTCCCCGAAGGGCGCCGCGGCCAATCGTAGCCGAGTCCCAGCCAGTCTCGCCACCACTGGACATTTCGCGTAGTGCTTGTCAACCAAAGCAGCAATGCGCTGCGCGGAGGCTGGAGACCGCGCAGGTCCAACCGCCCAGCGCTGCCTTGAGAGTAGCTGCCCACACACACACACGGGGGCGCCACAGGGCCAAGAAGCCGAAGAACAGCTTCAACTCGCCCGACACGACGGCCAGGAATAAGGGGAAGATACCATATGTCCAGCTGGCGGGGCAAGCGACGGTGGATCTCAGTGACGGCCAACTGACTCATGGGCAAACTGCATTTCATTTGCCACCGCCCCTTGGGGAGCGGGGTGGGCGAGGGCCCCTGTAAGAAACTGTCCACGCTCATGCGCCCAGCGCCGGCCAAGTCGATTAGCTTCTGCTGTGCCTGCTGGAGGTCGGCGAAGAAGTTGTCGGTCAGCCAAGGGAGCCAAGCAGCCCTCCGGTCTGGAAGTTGCAATAGGCGCTGGACCCGACGAAGCAAGACATCTGAGATGATGGAAAAGAGGAGCGGCGATAGAGGGCATCCTTGCCTGACCCCCGCAGCGACCTCGAACCCGGGGCCTGTGGCGCCACAGATAGACAGGGCGCAGAAGTTGTTGTCGCACAAGACAGACGCGAACCGACGCATCCAGAGCGGCCATCCTCGCGTCTCCAAGACGCGCTGGATGAACTCCTGGCTGAGGCTGGGCAAAGCCGCCTCGAGCCCAAGAACACTGCCAGCATGGCCCCCTCGACGCCCATTGCATTGGCAATCCTGGAGCGGCCGCTCAGGAACCCACGCTGCGCCAAAGAGATCTCGGGAGCCACGATAGGCTGGACGTGCAGACGCACGGCGCTGCCCAAGATGCGGTTGTCGGCGCTGGTGATGCTGAGGGGACGCAGGTTGCTAGGGGTGAACGCCTCGGTGCCCTCCGGGAGCGTGGGCGACTCTCTTGGGCAGAAAGACCATTGTGCTTTCATTGAAGGACGCCCATTCCGCCCTCATCCGGTCCGAGCCGTCAGGGGCAACCATCTCCTGGTAGGCCGCCTCGAAGACGTCAGCCGCGAGAGCCGCGATCTTTCGCCAAGCCATGAATGGGGTGCCATCGCGGCCAGGCGCGATGTCCTTCGTGAGCAAGATGGCCTTCCGGAAGGAGCCCCGAGGAACCGCGGAGTGGGGGGGGGTCCTGGTAGTTCGCAGGGAAGCGCTGGGCATCCTCACGCAGCCACGCCGCCATTGTCCCTGCGTCCACATCGCGCCGCCGGAACACTCGTTCCCAATGCTCCCGGATCAGCCGCGGCATCTCCCTGGGGTCGGTGGTGGCCTCACCAGACGGTGTGTCTATGGCAAGGTGCTGGCAGCTGACGCCAGGTGGCGATTCCTGCGCCGCCGCCGCGCCGCTTGGGCGGGATCCAGGTCACGGAGGTCCTCGTGCAAGCTGTTGAGCTCCTGCATGGTGAAGTCCCGCTGGAGATCCCTGATGCGACGGCGCACTCGAGCCAGCCGAGGGCCCGCCGGCGAGTGGAAGTCGCGCGGGTTCCGCACCAGGTCGCGAAGCAGCGGATAACGCTCCAGACAGCGCGAGACGCGTTCAGGAACGCCCGCCTCAGAAGCCCGGGGAAACTTCATGGAAACGCCGATGCGGCCCTCGAGAGCCTCGGCTCGCGGCGCCCCCCCGACCCGGGCGGACAAGGCCGCTCGGCGAGCCGCATGGCCTCTTTGAGCACCTGCAGCTTGGAGATGGCCGAAGCGCCAGGGCGGTCGCGGAGGATGGTATGCCAGGCCAACGATGCCTGCTGAGGCCAATCCGGGTGGTCCAGCACCTGGTCGCAAAGAGGCCGTCCCGCGTCGCCGCCGCCCTCCGGGAGGCACTTCCTCATGCTGACTGGGCGGTGCCGGGAGAGCACGGGGCACCGGTGGGGAGCAGTGCGCGAGAAGGACTTGCCCATGTACTCGGTGCCGTACTGGTTGGAGTACACGCGGTCGAGGCGAGACCGGGAGCTGGGGAGGCGTAGGCGGGCCCAGGCCGATCGTGCTCGTGGAAGCCGAATGGCGTGCCAAGTAGGTCGCGCCAGCGGGGCGAATCCTTGTAGTTGCGGCTGCCCGTAGCAGTGGCCGAAGATGCACAAGTCCGGTCCGCCTCGGAAATCGCGAAATGGAAGTCTCCAGCGATCATGTTCATAACCTGTTCCCGGGGGCGCACCTGCCAGGCGAGTCGACGCCGAAGAGCCTCGCGCAACTCGAAGCTGGACGCCCTGCGACCCGCTGGATCGAAGCCCGCCTCGATCATGTCGCCCACGTGCGTCGAGTCCCCTGCGGGGAAGTACACCGAGAAGATGTCCAGACAGCCTCGCGAGCCAGAGAGGCGAAGGGCAGCTGCCCTGCCTGGGAAGACTACCTCGAAACGCACGCTGTCAAAGAGCTCGAGGAAATCATCCCGCGCCGCGATCCCGACGCCTGCGCTCGCCGCAGAACGGCCCGGTGACTGCCAGGATGAGCAGCCCGGCGGATTCCGCCACGCCCTGCAGCGGTCCGCTGCACCGCGGGTCTCCGACCAACAGCCAATGTCGTGCGAGGTCATCAGCTGGCGTGCCCGCCGCGATCGGTCCCGGTGCTTGCCGGGGTCCACGGTAAAGAGCGCCTGGGTCTTCCAAGTGACCATGGACAGCTTCCCGCCATTGTGCCCGCTAGCTGGCGGAATACGTGCCCCCTCGGGGGCCTGAGTCCGATCGCCTGCTGGAGCGCATGGGGGCGGAGGGGAGGGGGCCGAGCCGACCCCGACTGCCCATCGGACGGCCTGCTGACGTAGAACGCGGAGAGGGACGTCGCGATCAAGCAGAGCAGCCGCATCGCCGACATGTGCCCAATGGAGCTGATGTAGAGGAAGAGCCGGAATAGGCGGCCTCAGTCGTGGGAGGGGGTATGGAAACCATCGCGAAGAGGTGGGCGAGGAAGAACGGGTTGGAGATGCTGAATTCAAACCGTCTGCAACCCCGCTGATGTCGACGCCGGCCTGGACGGTAGCACTCGGATGCCCGGCGGGGCAGCGGAAGGACAGGTCGAGGTCGAGTAGCCAACGAGCGGAACCATCGGCCTCAAAAATCTGAATTCCAGTAAGTGTGCATGAGCGATCCGCCGCTGATCCGGGTGCTTGGAGATCGTCTAGAGCACCCGGCCCCCGTTTCCCGTTAGGGGGGCCGCGTCCATCAGGTCGTCATGAACAGTGACCGCCAGCCAGTCGCCCCCCACCTGGACCACCTGGCCGTGGAGCGCGCTGTGGATCCGCACGACCTCCTCGCGGCTGCCAAGATAGAGGCGGGCACGCCCAAGCAGCGCCGATGCGTCATGTGAGGCCAAATGCTTCCAGAAGCCGGCGTGCTGCTCGTTAGCCGCGTCGTAGGCGCTGAGCTGCAAGCCAGCATGTTGGCACACGTGGGCGACGATCTCATCGAAGAGGCGTCGCTCCTGCAGCCCAGGGTCCCCGTTGATCCGAAGCTGAGTGACGAAGTCGACTTGCTGGGCCGCGCGCCCGCTCCTCCCCCTGCGGCGCCGAGACGCAGCTAAGGCGGTAGCCGTGGCCGTGGGCACCGCGAAGGGTCGCCCACCAAAGCGGCAGGCCTTCCAGCGAAGCCTGGAGATGAGCGCGGTTTCACCATCGCGGCAGAGGCGGTCCATAAGCTCCACCCATGCGTCGGCCGACGCCGCCGTCCGCGCCAAGAGCCGGTCCTCCGTGAGGAAGAGAGCCTCCGAAGATAGTGCGTTGGCGTGCGCCAGGGCTGCAGGAGAGCGACATTCAAGAACCAAGGCGCCGTCTGCCACGAAGAGGTCCTTTTTGCCGATGGCCATCGCTGGGGTGAGGACCTGCCGCTTCAGCCGTCGCAGAAGAAGCTCGACACCGATGGAAGAGATGCCAGGGGGTATAGAAGAAGATCGACGCGAATTCGAAGGAGCTCCGTGCTGCTGCCGATGCTCCGGGCGGGGTCTCTGACCGTGATCAGACCAAACTCTGGGGCCGACAGGCCACGTAGGAACGAGCAGAGCAGCTCCGTCGGGAGATCCACGACGAGGCCCGATGTGCCAGAGGCTTGCGTCAATGGCGTTCGTGGGAGCACCATCGCAGGGAGCGACCGCGAGCCGGTGCGCGCGACGCGGAAGCAAGCAAAACCTTGACGAACATGGCGGGGGCCATACGTACCAGGCAACACCATCTCCACCGGCTGAGGCAGCAGGCTGACGTTCTTGACCACCATGGCGTGCTTCTCCCCCAGCAGCCGGTGCGTCCACAGATCCAGGTGCTGGGATACTGTGGTCGCCCCAGGGTACGAGGGAAGCGGGGCGAGGAAATGTATCTCCACTGGACTGCTGGCAGGGTCCTGCCGGCGGAAGTGGTGTAGGACCCGGCCGAGGGCGCACGAGTCCTTCGGCGCCCATGCAACCACCTTCTGACCCTTCATCTCTTCCAGAAATTTGGTGCCCCCTCTCTCCAGCAGGTCGGCGAGGCGGCGGTGCCTGCTGACTGCGTCAGCATGCCGCCCGCGGGGGTCGAGGACCTGCGACCACTGGGTGATGAAGTCACTGTCAGCGGCGTGTGGACAGGAACGCGCCGCTGCCATGGCGTCGGCTCCCAGCTCTTTCCACCGCGGCAGCTTGTCAGGATGAAGCTGGCGTCGGGTGCGGCGCGCTTCCTGCAGGCCTTCCTCACAACGGGCTGCCGCGGATGTGGCGGCGGCCTGCGCCTGAGCGGCCGCGTCGCGATCCTCGTTGCTCCACGCGGCATCCTTGGCAAGCGACAGGAGAAGACTGGCCGACCTTGCGCGAAAGGCGATGTCCATCTCAGTGGTCTCCGGGCCACACAGGGGGCCCATACCCAGCATCGACCACGGGTCCCGCGCATCCAGGTGGTACCCCTGCTTACGCAGAATTGTGAGGTCGTGCATGCGAGCAGGAAGGGACACCGCCGCACGCACCGTCTGCGGGTCGGTTGCAGCGCTAGCTTGCACGAAGTCGAAGTGATGGAACATTTCCGACTCGAAGAAACTGTGCAAGTCCTCCAGCGTTATCCGAAGGTGAGAGGTGGCCCCAAAACGTGGCGGGGCAGTGACCGCAGCCGGCGGGGCCGCAAGATGGGTAGCAGCCAATGGCTGAGAAAGCCCTGTGCCCAGCTAGCGGGGGAAGGTCGTCGTCCACCATATCCTCAGGCTGTGACGGCTCGACGGCAGCAAATTGTCCTCCTGGGATCGGAACAAGAAAAAAAAAAAAAAAAAAATAAAAAAGAAAAAAAAAAAAAACAAGACAAAAAAGAAGCCAACAAAAAAAAAAAAAAAAAAAAAAAAAAAAAAAAAAAAAAAAAAAAAAAAACAAGCAAAGAAAAAAATAAAAAAAAAAACAAAAAAAAGAAAAAAAAAAAAAAAAAAAAAAAAATAAAAAAAAAAAAAAAAAAACAAAAACACCAAAAAAAAAAAAAAAAAAAAAAAAAAAAAGCAGATCTACGGACTGCTCCACGTATTGTCCTCCTGGGATCGGCGTCCTGCCGGCTGGGGGGTGATCGGCGTCCTGCTGGCCTGGCAAGGCCCTCGCCGGGGGCTGGAGCAGTTGCCCGCATCCGCGGTAACGATCTCCCGAGTCCTCCGCAGGCACGTGGATACCATACAGATGACAGGCGGCATGCGGGCAGATCAAGGTGAGCAGGGCGGCAGGTCCGCCACCTCGGAGGCGGAGCATCAAGTGCACGGTGGCGTATTTCTGGATGTTGTAGTCCGTGAGTGTGCGGGTGTCCTCCAGCTGCTGATTCGCGTAAATAAGCCGTTGCTGGCTAGGGAGGGTTCCCTCAGAGTATTGGATGTTCCTCTTCACGGTGTGGATCATGTGACCCGCCTCCATGTAGAGCATAATTGTCCTCCCGACGAGCGTCTTCGCAAAAATTTGCATGCTTCCGCTCTGCTGCTGCTGGTTCCCGTCGTCCTGCTCCTCGACGTCGTGCTGCTGGAGGCCTTGCTGCTGCTGGTCCTCGTCGTCCTGCTGCTGGTCGTCGTGGATGTCGTGGTGGTTGTTGTGTCCGCCTGTCTCTTCCCTGTCGTCGTGGATGTCGGTGGAGCCGTCGGTGGAGCCGCCGGTGGAGTCGTCGGCGCGGATGCCGTAGTGGACCCCGTCTGAGCGCTGCTCGTCCACCCAAGCAGGCACCTGCCGCGAGGACTCGAAGCTGCGAAGGATCAGAATGAACCACTCGTTGGGGCACCAAATGGTGCCTTCCCGGGTCAGGGCAACTGGTTGGCGGACGCCCGAGCACATGCGGCTTACTACTCACTCCATCCCCTCCTCTCTCGTGAAACCCATGTGACGTTGGGCCACCCTTTCTGCGGTGAGGAGGCTGCGTAGGGGAGCATAAACGTCATCCCAGTGGGCTCGAAGAGTATAGTGGCGAGCGTGTGTGCATGGGGTGTCGGCTGGTGCGAATTGTGTGAAAGCGTGTCTTCCGCAACCCGTGCACCGGGAGGTCCGCAGCGGGTCGTGGACGCCGTTCGCAATCAAGGTCAAGAACACGGACTTCGATGCAACACAGCAAGCGTACAGCGGCCGGCCACCAACTGCCCAAGCCATGCGACTCAGAAAGTCTTCCCCGATCTCCCTCGGAATGCTGATGGTGTCGTGGATTGTTGTGTGCTCGACATGCTGCTGTTGAGGACGTTGTGGACGGTGCTCGTGGTCGTGGTGATTCTGGGCGTCGTGATCGTCTTGCTCGTGGTGGGCGTCGTGGTTGTCGTAGTTGGCGCGGGTGTCCTGACCGCCGTGTGCGTCGTGGTCGTGGCTGGCGGTCGCGGGGTTGTGGTGGTTGGCGTAGGTGTCGTGGTCGCCGTAGGCGTCGTGGCCCATCATGTCCACGGGGGTGCTGGCGACAGTGCTGTCGTATGAGCTGGCATTGCTGCTGGCGCCAGAGCTGCCATGGGCGCTCCCGTCAGTGCTGGCGTGAGTGTTGGCGTAGGTGCTGGCGTAGGTGCTGGCGTGGGTGTTGGCGACGGTGATACTGACGCCTGCGGTGTCTTGGGCACGCACGTCGGGTATGATGGCGTCGGTGATGCCGTGGGTTCTGGCGTGGGAGATGCTGGCGTCGATGATGTTGCCTTCGGTGCCGTCGTCGGTGCCGAAGCCCTGGTGGTCGACGAAACCCTGGTGGTCGAGGACCGCAAGGGGGTCGCCGAAGTCCAGAAAGCCGATGAGATCCCGGTGGTCGCCGACGTTCTGGGGGCCGTGGATCTCCACCAGGTCCGCAGTGTCCAAGTCCGCCGTCGGCTCAGGCAGGAGGTCGCCGAAGGCCTGGGTCAGGTCCCTGCTCGCGTCCTCGGCCGCTGCGCTGGTGCTGTAGCGCTGCGCCATGGCTATGCTCGCGAGGGCAGGAACCGGAAAATCCTCGGTTTACCTGCCGACGCAAGCACCAGTGCGCCGAAATGTTTCGTCGCGGGTGCGGCGAAAGGGTTCGCGCGCGGACGGTGCCGCGTCCTTGTGCCGCGTGCCGCTCCTTGAGCCAAAATGGCTACGGTGGTGGTGGTGGTTGAAAACAGGCCCATCAGGCGGTCGGCGGTCGGCGGTCGTCGTCGTCGTCGGCAGCGCTCGGCGAAGCCGCCCGCCGGCGGTCGCCTTGCGTCGCGGCGGCGCCCGGCGAGTGGCCGTGCTCCGTCGGCGGCGCGGGCGGCGCGGGGCCGTCGGGGTGCGGGGCCGGCGCCGTGGGCTCCTCGCCGCGCCCCAGACATGATCGCGTCGTGAAAAAATCTGGACGGGCCTTTTTTTGTGATATATATATATATATATATGTATATATATATATATATACATACGCACAAAAAAAAACGGGCCCTGGGAGCCCTCGCCGACCCTCGGGAGCGTCAAAAAGTCGTCTGAGGATGAAAAGCCAGTCCTGGGGAAAGGGTCCGGACTTCCGGGGACGCCGTCCTGAAAAAATCAAGACGTCGCATGTCTGGGTCTGCTCTCCTCTTTCCCCCTCCCCATTCCGTTTCCTCGCCACCGCTCAGAGGTCCATTCCCCGTGCGCGTTTCGGTCGCGGGCGCCTGTTTTCCGCAGGGTGATCCAGGATGCGTCTCGATGGTCCTCGCCGAAAAAAGATGCACACGTCCGATCGATACCAAGTTTCCTTGTAAATGCCCCCCTGTCGCACCCCCAGACGCGTCGGTGGGGCGGGCTGAGCGTTTCGCCTGAGACTTCCTGATCTCTCATGCCCCTGAAGCTTGGAATCTGCAGTTGCTCAAGGATGGAGGGCTAGCAACTTCCAAAATGCGGCTCTCGCCTTAGCGCCGTGCGCGTTCGTACTAAACGTTTGTAACAGTCTCGCGGATGGAGAGCGGTCGAGTTTCAAACTGAGGTTCTCGCTTTAGCAGGGCGCGCGTTCGTCTGTCAGAGCTTGCAACTGTTTAACGGATGAAAAGCGGGCCGTGCATCAAAATGGGGCTCCCGCCTAGGCGTAGCGCACATTCGTCTGATAAGTTTGCAACCGCTTCAGGGATGGAGGGCGGGCCGTCTTCAAGATGTGGCTCTCGCTCCAGCGTTGCGCCAATTGCAAAAGGTTCAAGAATTCGCGCGGCTGGCGTTCTGGAGCGATTTAGGATTGTCATGACTCAACAGTCACGTCGGTTCGCGGTGTTGAAGTCCCAGGAATTGTGCTCTGGCACGAGTGAGCATTGCCAGTGCGCGACAGTCACGTTGATTTGCTGTGAGACCCGCGGGACTCAGGATTGATGAAGATTGATTGGCGTCTTCTGGCGCGACTGAGGATTGACTGAATATAATCACACGACTGTCTTCCAATGGCGCGCTTCCCGCCATGAACATCCGCAACCTGGCCCTGATGCACGTGTTGGCATGTCCTCAGGTCCTTGGCCTAACTCTTTGAGACTCAGTCCTCAGCGCTGCGGATTCTGAAGGGGCTCGGACCCGAACTTGTCAAATCCTTTGGGGCTCGTTGCGTCCTATCGCGTGACTTGTTCGAGCCTGGCAGGCCGGGCAGCGTGGTTCCTCCACTTCCGCGGCCGCAGGCCTCCCCTCCCCCCTCCCCCCTCGAGGCACGAGAAACGACACATGCGCAAAGCAACTGGAACTCAGAGAGAGAGAGAGAGAGAGAAACAAAAAACAAAGAGAGAGAGAGAGAACAAAAAAGAGAGAGAGAGAGAGAGTCACGCAAGCAAGAGCCCTTAAGAGCACCGTCGGCTGCTCAGGGCCCTTGGCGCCCTGCGTCCCCAGCAGACTGTGGCAGCGACACAGTGAAGGCATTGGATAGGGAACCCTTGGACACAGAAGCCAGGATACGGAAGCAGGCGGAACACCAATGGAGGCTTGGCCATGGATGCAGCGGAGGCCAGTCCACAAGAAACCTTCCACAAGAAACCCAGCTCTGAGACACCAGGACGTCCATGGATTTTTGGTGTGGGAGCGTCACATCTTTTGTCGCAAAACCATCGAAACCCAAGAAACCCAGGGCTCCCTGGAATCAAGCAGGGTGATTCTTGGCATAGGGCCTCCACTGTACCCCCGCCGCCCTCATCAGACAAGGAACCTTCCAGGGTATGAACCCTCCTGGGCACATTCCTTAACAAACGTCTCCACCGTAAAAATCCACAAGGTCCGTGCGGATTTCTTGGATCGGCGCTGGGCTCCCCTCCCTGGCGCGTGGAACGCGCCAAGGGTGGCGCCAGAACCGCCGCTTGAGGAGCCAAGCGCCGATCTAAGACATCCGCACGGGTCGCTGCATGTGTACGTTTATGCGATGTGTTCTTTCTCGACTCTTGGGCTGGGCGACATTTAGACTGCGCACATGTCAAGACTTACTAACTTGCGCCCCCTTGGCAGAAGGGGGAGTGCGGGGCGAAATGCCATGAAGACAAACATGTCCGAGCTTAGAATAATTGGATCACCAAGGCAGTTGCTGCCTTCAGCAATTCTGCCAAGTGTGCGGGGCCCACTCAGCCCAGATCGCTCCTGACCCACGTATGCACTGAGTTACTTAGACCAGACAGAACCCACCTTTCAAAAAAAACGTGTGTTCCCATCGCACGGCCGCCTTTTCGTCGCTCTGGACGCCGTGCCACGCCGTGCCACAGAGCGACTCGGAGGGTGAAGACGGAGCACCGCGCACCTAGAGCAACTAGAACACCGCTTTGACAAATGGCTTCGCATCCACTCGTGGGCCCCCCATCCGCTCAGCAACCACCGCGGTGATCCGCCGAAGCGTAGGTCGCACATGTCCTCCTGCAGGCGGGTTTTGGGGAAAGGCAACAAATAGCATAAGGAAAGTCACACTTCTCAAACATGAGCAACACATCGTCCCCATATGATGTTGTTGAAACCAGTTTCGAGCATGCCTCCTGTAGAGGGGCACGCCCGACTTAAAGCCTAAGCGCACCCTCCAGTCCGACTGTCGGCGGTGGACAAACCTCCCTTTAGTAAACCTCCCCTTAGTGAAAACGGCCTGGGACCGAAACCGACGGACCTGGACCCGCACAAATGACGGGCGCGACGACCTCTCGCGAGCCGAAAACGGCCAATTCCTTCATCGACGTGTCAAGGGTAGGAGGTTGAGGTCCATCTCCACCTCCGGGACTCCCGACGCCATGCGCCAGCGCGGTTCCCCGGGGGGCCGCTCCTGCGCCGCGGCGGCCGCCGCTGGGGCGCCCGGGGGCGGCGGCGGCGGCGGCGCGCTGGCCGCCGCGGCGGCGACGTCGGCCGCCTCTTCAGGGCCGCCCCAGTCGAGGGGCGGACACGGGGGAGGGCGAAGGGAGGAAGAGGAGGAGGAGGAGGAGGAGAAGGAAGAGGAGGAGGAGGAGGAGAAGGAGGAGCAGGAAACGTGAGAGGGGGACTGAATATCGTTTGACCGATCCCCATCCCTGGCGGCTTGGCCCGGGCCCCACTGGCCGATTTAGCCTCCTAGATGGGGATATGGGTCGTTCCGTTCGGGCTTCGAGGGGTGTATCCCCAACTTGGGTGGTAATTTGGTGGGGGTCTCGAAGGGGATGGGGATGGGGATGGGGATCGGTCAAAACGATACCGAGGGACGCATCGACCCCCGATCGCCCATGCATCCTCGAGAAGGGGGACCGATAGGCCCACCCCGCCCAGGAGTGTAGAGGGGTCTCGCTGTCGGGGGCCTATCACCGCTATGTGGCGGTGCATGGCTGGCTTGCAGCTCCATGTGTGTCCCCCCCTGTTTAGCCGGTTCCCCCTTCAACGTCCCCCCTCCGGAGGC